TTAAACCACACGCGCGTGTTTTACGCGATCAGCTGATTTGTGAGTAGAAAGAATCCGCCGGACGCGAAATAATACAAAATAAATAATGTTGTGCTTAGATGATTTTAAAATTATCTAGCTAAAGATGAGATGGAAATGTGTAAATTCACCTTAAATAATACATAATAAATAATGTTGTGCTTAGATGATTTTAAAATTATCTAGCTAAAGATGAGATGGAAATGTGTAAAATCATCTTAGATAATACATAATAAATAATAAACAATGTTGTGCTTAGATGATTTAAAAATTGTCTAGCTAAAGATGAGATGGAAATATGTAAATTTATCTTATTTGAATAATTTATAAATTATTTGAATAATTAGTAAAAATAACACTTCTTTTATCTAAGATGCAAATATAGATAATACATATTTTTATTATCTATATATAAAAATAAGATGACGTCAAAATTTTATCTAGATAAGCATCTATATAATTTTATTTAGATAACAGCAAACACTAATAATTTTTTTGAAATGCAAGTATTAGAAATATACACTGAAAAAATGACTAAATTGGTACACATATTTAGTTCAATTCTGCCAAATGAATCATTTATTTGAAACAAATAAATATTTATTTGTTTTGAAAAGGATTTTCTTATATCAAATAAATGATTTATTTGGCAGTATTGAAATAAATACTTATTCGAATTAACTAAATTTTTTTTATTATACTCTTCAAGATAATACAATATATTTACTTTACATTTCGACGAATTAAGTTGGATAAAAACGATAGTACCTCGAGCATAAATAAAAAATCTATTTGAGATCTCTGATACGGATTATCTTACTTGGGGTAAGTTTATTCCGTGACATTATTATATGCTTTATCACGAAAGGTACAATTATAGCGTCGGGACGAGAAGATATTTGACGTCGGCGAATGTTCCAACGTCGTTTATGGACTTCTTTCCTCGAGCCTTGAATTTTTATAGCTCCCGACATAGCTATTGAGCTTTTTGCGGTAGTAAAGATTACGTATCAACGCAGAGAATAATTGAATTGAGCAATAACACACTCTCTCTCACGTATATATTATACCGATCCGAAAATTCGATGCATCAATCAAATGAATTAAGGAGGCGGACTTGAGAAAGACTAAGCGCGGGAAAAATAGCACAAAATCGCAATTTTTCTCTTCGGCTCCGATCTCGTTATCGGACGCTCATTTTCGATTAATAATAGATACAAACACGAGGAATATCGGAATTGGAATCTCCGAAACAATCGACGAGCACTCGTCGAGATAAGCTCGCTTTATTATGTGCTGTCGGGAATAGAATTTGCGCCGAAATAACACGAGAGGAGATTCAATTCTCTAGAACCGGGGTCTTCATATTTTGCGACTTTGTTTTTTCACCATCGGAGATCGTCCCATCTCCCGCGATTGTCTGTCGATTTTCGTAAGAACTTTACGCGGCCCAGGGCTTAAGTAAAAAATATCCATCTGGAAGTCAGCCAGTGAGACTATTTCCAGAACGAGTGGCGTAAATAGCGTTGTTGTGGCGAACGAGTGCTCGTTGTGGCCCTCGTGCAAAACGAGAAATTACAATCTGCAAGGTACCAGGACGATAGTGCTCGGAAAAAATCGGAAGCTATATATATATATATATATATATATCTTTGGATAGATATATGTATATGTAAACAGAAAAAAGTGAGATGCAATTTAATTCGACCAAAAACTGGCTGAAAAAGAATCAATTGGCTCGACTAAGTCGACGGTCATGAACTGTCAAATAAATTTTTAGCTAAGGCTACAAAAATTTCCTTGTTCGAACTAAAAATTGACATGACAGTCCGAATAATCAATTAGAACCAAAATTTCGTTATCCTGACTAAAAATTTATTTGACAGTCTGTGACCGTCGATTTAGTTGAGCTAATTAATTTTTTTTTTCAGTGATATGCACAGTAGAAAAGTTTGTTTTCTTGTTAAAAACCGTTCCCATGAAAATTTTTCTATTAAATATTTAATACATTCATCTTTGGATAGATATATGTACGTGTAAACTGAAAAAAAATTAATTGTCTCGACTAAATCGACGGTCACGAACTGTCAAATAAATTTTTAGGCTAGAAAAATTTTCTTATCCGAACTAAAAATTGACATCACAGTCCGAATAATCAATTAGAACAAAAATTTCGTTATCCCGACTAAAAATTTATTTGACAGTCTGTGACCGTCAATTTAGTTGAGTCAATTAATTTTTTTTCAGTGATTAACATATTACTGTTCTGTTAATTGAACTTAAATGTTAAATTATTAAAAGAACTGAAAAAATGTAAAAATAATACAATGTGCATCTATTTTTAATTTTACACAATAAATATGTTCTGCTTTATTAGTGACATTTTTTTGTTAAAATTTACAGAAAAACATTTTGATTTTCTATTTTATAATATAAGTGGCGATGATAAAATCTAAAATTAACATATTTGTTGTTCATTTTTACATTAAAATTATGTTAATTTTACACAAAATTTATTTTAAATTATTTGAAGTTTCATATTTATTTTATGTTAAAATATTAACACAAAAATTTCTGTAGATTGTTTGGGACATATGATATCTGTTAAATTTAACAGAAATTTTTCAACTCTGTGTGCCTTTTTTTCGCCTCGAATGTAATTTACATGCGAAAATTAATTTATAATAATATATTTCGGAATTAAATCGGAATTTAAATTTAAATTCAAATTGCAATTTGATAATCAGATTACTTGCTCGATAAATTCATATAAATTTTCGAGCGTTATAAATTCAAATTAAAATCACTCCGATTAATGTAAATTTCCAAATTTGACAAATTTACAATTTATTTCGGTCTATCTAGTTCGCGCAAGATGCAGAATTAATACGCATATCGTCGTATATACAATACTTTTGTCGCTGATAAGTTCCTATGATCGAGCTCGTAAATTCCGCTTATCAACTGAATGTCAAATTGGCCAAGTGAATTTGCAGTTAGACCAAGATCTCTCTTTCTTAAGAACAACATCTCGAGAGCGATTTGAACGCTTTTTTTATCGATATAATCTATATCGACATCGCTGCGTTCTACTTCGAAATTACGTTTTATTTTCGTAATTACGACTCGGATAGGAACCTTATCAATTCGATATACATATACTGCGTTTTTTTCTCCGCTTTTTTGCGACGCGAAAAAAATTGCCAAGAAACGTCATTTATCTAGTCGAGATTCAGATAGTCGGTTCCGAGAAAAGATCGCGAAAAGATAACGCCCACACGTCTAATATCATTGTGATCTGCCTGGGATTTATATAATGCTCCCTCCCTCCTACCAGATAAATCTTCACCGACGCGAATAATTAGTCGAGCGCTAATGAGCATGACAAAAGGTTAATCGCGAGACTTTTGAGCGAGGTCGAGTATCTTTCGTTATCTCAGTAGGAAGACACGCGTCACGTGTCATCTGCGAAAGCTCAATCGAAGAGTTCTACACGCACATATATATATATATATATATATATATATATATATATGCAGTTTTATTAGGAAAGGAAAGTTACCTTATTGTTCGTTACTGGAGATCTGCTTCTATCCTCTATCCTTGAGTTTCGTCCTTCAACTGCAAGCAAAATAGAGAAACATTTGTTAGATATATTAACGCCGAATATATATAAAAAGAAGGTTATACGAAAAAATCAATTTCTTAATTTTTATACATTTTTAAACTTAAGTTTAAAAATTTATAAAAATTAAAAAAATATTTTATTATTAAAATAATTATATCTTATTTTATTTTTTTTATTATTTTATTTTATTATTTTGTTATTAATTATTTAAAAATTATTTATAGATATATTATTGACGGAAATTAAACATAAAATGGAGATCATGCGAGAAACTTAAGTTTAAAAATTTATAAAAATTATTTTATTATTAAAATAATTATATTATATTTTATTATTTTGTTTTTTTTATTATTTTATTATTAATTATTTAAAAATTTTTTTTGCCTTGTCAATAACTATTTATATAGTTACTAATTTCGGAATACGTCTAAACATATAATTTTATTATCTCTAATTATTATGTATCTTTAATTATTATGTAAAAGGAAATCAGGCACATTTCCTAAAGATAGAAATAAGAGAAAGTTGTATATTAAAATAAAAATAATTATGAAGAATAAAGGAGGGGAGAATTAATTATTTTTGCTAGCATAGAAGGTGCATTAGATAATTATATATATATATAGGTATATATATATATATATATATATATATATAATTTAGAATTTTTTCCTATAAAAGACTATTAATTGCTACCTAGCTTCGACCAATTCTATGAGGATTTCAGTGATAATTTATTCCAACATTATGCAAGTAATTAACACAAAATAATAATGAGAGCTTCAAAGCGTAATTTGGGAAGCTGCAAAAATTATGCATAGTACGAAAATTATATGAATTCCACATGCCTTTTTAATGAAGGTACATCATTATTATACAAATTATATAAACTGTAGAAATTGCTGCAGAGACAAATGCACAATAAAAGATAAACATCGAATAGTCAAGGCTAAGTGTACCGCAAGCGACGAAGGAGGTAACATTGCGTCGTAAACAAATCAGATTTGACAAGTTAAAAGCTTCATCGTCTGCGGAAAGCTTATTATATAATCCTGAAATAGATTTCATGTAAATCGAAGAAATCATTCGACGTATGATTTAAAATCTTAATATAGTCAAAAAATGATAACAAATATATCTTGTTAAAATAAATAAATTCACTTCATTCTCTTCTAATTATTATTTCACATGCAGGCTTTATTGTAGATTGTTTTAGAGTTGTACCGTATTTTTTTTTCTAAAAATTGCACCTTTAAATTCAGAAGTCCATCAAAATCAAAAACTTCTAAAATCGCCTACACGACACAATTAAATTTATTAATGCATTAAGAATTTGTTTAATTTTTTGTTTCAGGAAAACGATGATTCCTCAAATTATTACATCTTGGAGCATCAATTGGCGCTTTCTCAACATGCATAATTAAAAATTTTATAACATTTACTAATGCACGTGTAAGATATTAGTCAAAATTCTCTTGAATGAAATTAATAGTTTCTGCAAATAAATAAATAATAAAAATAGACATCTTTTTGGTCCCCTTTTGAGTGTAAATCCCCCGATATAAACTATACAGATATATATGTATCGATATTGTTAAGCTGACGAATCAATCGTTTTTATCATGCAGCGGAAATAAACCGCGGTTCCGCTAAATAAAAAGAAACGATAATTACAACTTTACGCTTCACCGAATAATAACGCAACGCCCTATAAATCGAGAAGTTCAATCTTCATCCATTATCGACAAACTCGCCCGAAGGTTTTTGTTTCATTTCGTTCGACCAATCTCAAATACACGTTCAGATTCTCGCGCGAATGCGACGAAGCGAGAAACGAAAACCGGCACATTTGCGCTTGCGCAAAAAAGAATTGCAATAAAATCGCAAATTGTCGTAACAGTATGCAAAACCGCGTAATAAAACCTATCGTGCTAAATGTCAGACAAAATTATTTTAAGAGAATCACAGGATGTCTAGCAGTCAGGGAAATCTGGAAAACCGGAAAACATTGTCAGGGAATTTTAGAAATCTGGAATCGTCAAGGAAAAAAGTCACGAAATTTTACGACTTATCTGGATTTTTTCATATGATTCTACATTTGTTTCAATAATTTGAAATTTTTTATTACATAAATATAAACTTTTCCTTGACTCCCAGCACGCTAATTTTCTGTGTGTTAAAATCGATTTATCCATGGCGTGTTCGTTAATTTATATTTTCATCGTCGTGTTATTTTATTTCAATATGTGTTTGATAGAGACAAAATTAAAGATTATTTAAATAGTTTATAGTGACATGTTTGTTTATACATAAAAAAATAAGTTATATTAATTTACATAAAAAATTAAAAATAAAAATTGAAATTTTTTTATTCAAAAGATATAAACTTTTCCTTGACTCCCAGCACGCTAATTTTCTGTTATTTCAATGTATTTGAGAGATAGAGACAAAACCAAAAAATTTGATATAATATAAATAAAAAAGATAATTATTTAAATAGTTTATATATATAGTGACATGTTTATTTCGATTATCGTACATAATGCAGATTATATAACTAATTAAAATTTCTGTTTTAACTTCCGAACCTTTTCATTGTTGACAAAAATATCTCAAGGATTTCATAATTTAACATTTAATTGATTTATCATATAGACAGATATATGCAATTATATATTTGTAAAAAATAATACTATAAGGTCAGGGAGAAAATGAATTTCTGGTCTTGGAAAATCTGAAAAAGTCAGGGAATTTTTTTCATTGAGTCTGCTGGATATCCTGAATCATTTCGTATAAAAAAGGCGAAGTAAGTAAATTTTGCGTTCGACGAAATTGACGTAGACGCGAATCGCGCACTCATAATTGCAGTGACCGTGAACCAAGAGCGAAGTCTCGGCTAGTCAAGGTTCACAGGTCAAAGTTCGTCGCGGGGCGATGCTTGCGTCGTCTGTTAATATGTGTGTCACTATGCGAAACAGTTCGTCTCGTTGACTTTAGATCCTACATTCTTTTTAATCTCTTAATTTTCTCCTACAATATCTTAAAGATATTAATTTTACACATTTTAAGAATTCCAACAAATTTTATTAACAATATGATTAAACGATGCTATTTAAATAATTTTAAGTTACATTGTATTTTATTTTTAATTCTCTAGCGTTCATCCATGTTTTGTCAACAGAAGAGAGATGGAAAAAATTATTAAATGCACATTTTAAGAATTCCAATAAAATTAATTAACAATATGATAAAAGAACACCCTAAATAATTTTAAGTTACATTGTATTTTATTTTTAATTCTAGTGAATATATACGAATCTATTTTAAGAAAGAGAAGGTTTATGCATAAATACTTATTCGGTGAAATATTGAAATATACACAGAGAGAATTTTCTCTTAGAATTTGCTCTGAAAATCACGGTAGAATTTTATAAAAGTTTCTCTAATTAATATTTACACACAACAAAAAATATTAACTAATTAATTAATTAATTAATTTTATTTAGTAAATGAGAAAATGAATATGTACATAGTAAATTAATCAAGCGTATTTTGTATCTTATTATGTTCTTATGTATTAAATATTTAATCAAAGAAACTCTCTCATAGTTACCATAATTTTCCGGGTAAATTCTAAGAGAAAATTCTGTCTATGTAATCTAAATATAGTCCAAATCGAAACGTTTCGACGGCGCGAATTTCAGTGAGTACGATTTTACGATTTCTTCGTGAAAGCGCATCGAGGATGATTCAGCACGCGTCAACGCAAACAATAGACCCCTCGTTATCGCTTTTGTTTGCGTCTATTATTGAGCGCACTATTTGGAGAGCAGGTGACGATGTATCCCCGGTTATAAAGAAGGAAATAAAAAAAAAAAAAAAATAATAAAAATAAACACACGAAAAATAAACATTCTCGCGATGCGTCTTCGTGACGTCTGGCCGAAGGAATGTCTGGTAATTTCCGCCGTCGTCGCGAGAATCGGAGAACACAATTTCACGAGAGACACGCCCGTGAGTCAGTCACGTCACAGGCGGCTTCTCTCTGTGACCTGATTCAATTTCGAAATAATCCCCGAAAAAAGAGAAAAAGAGGCGCGTTCTCTTCTCTTTTCTCCTCTTCCGCGCATTTGCGCGCAGATGAAACACAAAATCGACGCGAGCGTCTGCTCGGGTCGAAAATATACAGCGCGCTTTTGACTTGGTAAATAAAAAAAAGCATTCTAAAACGGTAGAATCGTACACGTGTTGTGCGCCATCGATTACCGATGCGTGAAAATACTCTTCGCTGAAATGCTCGTCAAAATTAGCATGCCTGTAGACCGAGGAAAAAAGAGATCTTTTGGCTCTCTCGTCGCATAATCTGACATTTCATCTCGTTTTGAGGTTGCTCAAATCCTAACATTATTTTTAGGGGCATCGACATTCCAGAACTCGAGGATTTGGCGAGAATATTATTTTCAGAATCTTCAGTTTGACAGCATTTTTGATCAGAAGAAGATTACCATAAAGAGCCACAGCCCTTTCTCGAAAAATTCTAATATAACCTATTTTTTATTCAATTATATTCAAATTAATTATAATAAAATTATACTAAGTTATATAATAAATAATATAATACTAAAAAATTATACTAAATTTATAATAAAAATAATATAAGTATAATAAATACAGTAAAATTATATTTAAAAATTTGTTAAAAATTTTGAAATCCCAAATATTTTACAAAAAAAAATTAAACTTGAAATACCTCGAAAATTATTATTGATCGCGCGTAATTTGCAGCATTATTTTTTTTTTCTCTTAAAAAATCTGTCACACCTGTCACAAATGAAGGGGTCCCGGAAATTACATTCTGCCCGAGAATTTGAACACGCGATCGGTTACTAGTCTTGTATAAAAGCTCACGATACGAAACCGATTGGCTTCAGGCAAGGATCGGGCTCGTTGAAAATAAACGGGAAGTCAAACGCTGACGCAATTGCGTCAATCTCACGTCGCGCGAAATTCCGGGTTGGTAACGATCGCTTTCATAATAAAGCGAGCGTATTACAACCGCGTCCGTCGCGTCGTCGTGGGCTAATGCATTTCTTGCGGCCGCATTGGAAGTTTCAGGCGCGAGTGACGCGAGACGGGCCGGAGGAAAGTGCATCCACGTGCAGTCAATAAGGCAGAATGTCCTTTTTCTCGTGTTGTCTGCGACTATGATCCAATCGTCGTTGACGATCGATTGAACAATGGATCAGGAAAGTCCGAGGCGTAATTTCATTTGTACCGCGAAAAATTATCGCTTCCGTCTGTCACCTTTTTTATCTGTCATTTTTATCTGATTAGCTGAGATGATTCGAGAGAGAATTTTTTTAATATAAATATATTTATATTATTTTTATTATTATTTATTTTATTATTATTATTATTTATATTATTTTTTATTATTTTATTATTACAATATATAAACAATTATAATTTTATTTGAAGTAAGTCGAAATGTTTCTTAATAAGCGATCAGATTATATTCTCTCTTGAAAAACTTAATCTACAATATTGCCTTTTTTAAACCTCCAAGTGAAAACCTGCTTGTTCACTGCCTATATTCGAAGTAAACAATTTTTGGAAAAATCTCTGGAATTTCTACAAACGTGAAAAAATTGAAGTTGCAAATAGAAACGAAGTATCAACTCGGGTACTATAAAACGACCTCTCTCTCTTTCGTAACGAGCGTAAAATATGGGAAAGTGACGATTTGATTTTTGCGCAACGATAAATCAAGTGTCAAAACGCGACGAGAATATTCGCATAACATGCGTATACGCTCGCCATTTTTGTGGGTGGATGTACGCGGGTTTCATCTCGCGTAATCAGGCAACTTTCTCGCACTCGAGTTCTCTCCTCAGGGTCAACAGAGGACGTCGACGAAAGAGGCCAACCGGGGGCATCAAGGTCTTCACGACTCGGCAATAAGGGAAAGTGCAAGAGGCTTTCGACGGAATGACCCTTTAAGAGGAGGGTAGTTTCGACGATGACAGCAGCAGGGAAAGGGAAACGGAGAAGGGGTGTATATATTGATCGTCCCAAAAACATTCGCTGAAAATTCTCCTTTGCATAAAAAAGCACCACATTTCTCTGGATCATATATTTAGATTATGAAAAATGTAAAAAAAAATTTTTAATTATATATGTACATATATAGGGTGTAACTAAACAAAGGTATACGAAGCACATCATCGGATGCAGGATGACAAACTAAATCGAAAAGTCCTGAGCAATTTTTAATCTGAGCTTTATTTTTAACGTTATAAATTGTTAAAGATTGACCAATTAGCGTGTGGCTACGCCTACTAAGGCGGGGCCTATGCTGTTTTCCGTTGTAGCCACGCGCTAATTGGTACACTTTAACAATTTATAGCATCAAAAATAAAGCTTAGATTGAAAAATGGCTCAGGACTTTTCGCTTTAGTTTGTCGTCCTGCATCCGATGATGTGCTTCGTATA